ATGTACATATTCGAAAAATATGACATAAGCATCGCATCAGATCTGCAGCTGCAGTGTTTTGAAGAGGAAAGGGTCTGCTCACTCACTACTCACAGAAAACAGTAACTCTGAGCTATTGGTGCATGTGTTGTCACAAAAGCCTTCAACAGAACAGCTGGTTGTTAAAAATAAAAAAGCCTGAAAAGTAGCAAGATATGGCGAAAAAGTCGCTGAGTTGGTAACACTGCGCTCACCTTTCTCAGTGGGATGATGGCAGTCTGGCCAGGAATTTCCTTTTTTACAGGGTTTTCATCATAGTTATATACTAATGAGTAGGGGGTTTTAACACGGTTCCAGCTGCAGTGGCGGCTGGCAGATTTATCTCTAGGGGGGGCTATAACTTCAAAATAGACGAATACCAAAAACCAATCAAATGTATACTAGAGTACCACACCAGTGTTTTTACATGAATGCCAACAACAAAAACCATAAAATTCTCTGTAAAGTGCTTCAAATCAGTCCTACCTGTCTGAATCCATGCTTTGTCAGATCCTGACGTTTCAAAAAGGTGGCAGGCAGTCAAGGCAGCAGAAGTGTTTTGTAATGCTTTTGCTTCACACTGTTACCAACGGTTAGTAGCATCAGAAGATTGGTTGGTAATGGAGCCTGGAAGGTGAATGAAGACCAACACCAAATACAAGGTTTTAAATTAAAATTACACTAATATTCAAAACAAAAACTATATTACCAGTCTGAGGAAGACAGACAGTAATAAACAATGAGCAACGACAAATAATTTAAAGGTTTTAAACTTTCAGTCCTTCACAAGTACAAAAGATCCTTAAAGGTAAAGGGGATGATCTTTTATTTCCAGGTGGATCATTTGAATAATTGGTCCTCCTAATTGTCAATCATTCTGGTGATATGTTCACGTAAGGCCATCCTATGTGCTCGTCCCGTCAGCTACCGTTTTTCTGTGCATGCGCACTTTCAGGCAAATATCTGTGGTGAGTCACAGTATCAGACAGTCATTGAAGCTCACCTTTCTCACCACGGTTCTTTGAAAATGGACTCGTGCATGTCCTTGCACACCCATTTTTTGTTTAAGTGGAAATGGCATGTCTTTTAAAATATTAGAGAAAATCATCCACAATACCTTTAAATTGCGATCTGTTCCAAAGGAGCTCAACACTCCCCCAACATGGCATAGTGTTTGCAGCCCATTTTCCAAACACCCTTAAAAAGTTTCAACCCATTGGACCTGAACCAGCCTAAGACACAAACATTATAAGGGTTGATTATAGAAATAACATGCTCTGAGAATGATTGACTTGTATAACAAATCAACCAGTTGTTGAAACTTGAACATCATGGAAATCAAATTATTTTCCTGAATTATCGCTGTATAAAAGAACCAGTTTCTGATTAATAAAAAAACAGGTGAATAATCTAGACTGACAGGAGAGCATGCAGTTGTTCAGCAGTACAGTAAAGTTGATTGTGACCCATTTTTTTCACATGGGAAATAGGAACTAAAGAAAAGAATTCAAATACTTTTTGGGTTTAAACAAAGTTTACTAAAAGCAAAAGAAGCCATACAGAAGGTTTCCATAG